TCCAAGACTCACGTAGCGACCCCGCAGACCCACGTAGATACACACAAACTCACGTAGAGACCCACATAGACTCGCATAGAGCCTCGTAGACTCGCACAGCGACCCACATACTCACGTAGAGACCCACATAGAGAGCCATCGACTCACAGATTTGTGATTAAACACGGTTTCTCAAGCGCAGTGAGTTGATGGTCTCATTCCCAGTCACCGTTGACTGCAAGTACAATGATCACTGTCACTTTGGTTCTCTGCACATAATTTGGTCACACAGAGATGATACCCTAAGCACTCACAGACACTGCATTTTGATTTAAAGCTTTCGTGACTGCAGGGATTCATATTCTTGGTTCTTTCGGTGAAGTCACGTGGAAGGGAAACAATAAAATGATAAAAATATAAAACAATAAAATTATCACGACGTTTCGACTGCAACATAAGCAATCATCATCAGGTGTGAAAACCACAGCAAGAAAATTTGAAAAAGTGGCGGTTTTCACACCTGACGTTGATTGCTTGTGTTGCAGTCCAAACGTCGTGAGAATTTTATTGTTTTATATTTTTTATTATTTTATTGTTTCCCTTCTACGTGACTTTACCGAAAGAACCAAGAATATGAGACACTGCATTGATCAAATCAACAACGAGCAGAGACCCCCCCCGTTGCTGCTCTGCAACGCAAACTGCGAGACAGCCGTCGTGACGAAGGGTCATCTGTTGTTCCATTGATTAATGCAACGGCCAATATAATACGTATCGCGAGTGTTTTTTTCTCTCTCTCTCTCTCTCAAAAGTATTTTATTTAACAAGACGATCCAGGTACACGCGAAAGATGCGATAGGAGGTTGACACCAGCACAAACACATTGCGGATTAAAGTGCAATGGAAAACCTGTCTAAACCGCACGCTTCAGTAAACTGTTTCTATTAACCCTGGGTCACTGGCGGTGTCTTCCTGAGCTCTGATACCTCTGCAGGGGAGAAAAAAAAGGGGGGGGGCGGTGGAAGGGAGTGGAGTGCTTCAATGCCTCTCTTGAATGCTTTTGAGAATAAATGCCAACTGGAGTAGGTAGTGAAGGGGGGTTCCATGTTTGGTGGTAAGCTTCCTCCCTGCCATCTTAGTGTTGCAATGGGATGCTCGATAAATTTTTTAAAATGTATATTCCGTTAGATAAAATAAAAAAAACAAATCTATATTTTGGCGAAAAAAAAATCCTGAATAGGAGCACAACTTGTAAAGTTAGAGCGATTTTAAATTCACCGAGTCGGTCTTTCGCATTTGCTACTACGACTTGATCAGGAACGTGCGGCCAGGTGAGGCAGTGGAGGCAGAGCCTCACCTGTCATGCTGCAATGAAAATAGCCGTTACGAAAAGTAAAAAAAAGAATACCCAAATCAAATAAATATTAAGATTGTTCCACTGATCTGTGTTATAAATGTCATTTCTGTACGATTCCAAATCATTTTTATAGTCAAAATCGCCAACTTTGCGGAGCTCCGCTGCAGATGCTGCAGGAAGAGACGAGAGGTGAGGCAGCGACGAGCTCAGCCTCCCCTCTGATTGCGCAACCCCTCAGAATCTGGATGGAGCGCGGGCAATAAGCGCGTGCCTGTTACTCTCTCAGTATGTCACCAATGTAATGTTTGTAGACCCCTTCATTTCATGTCCTCGCCTTCCATACTCCAGTTAACTTATTTCACGTACGTGTATAAACATACTTAGGCTCGCTGGTCTCGTCATGAAACTGCAATGAAAAAGCACCAGGGGAGGCAGCTATCACATCTGCCTCACTGACGGGGACGTGTCTAACACGCCCCCTTCACTGAGGCCACGCCCCCTCAGTGAGGCCACGCCCCCTCAGTGAGGCCACGCCCCTCCGTGAGGCCACGCCCCCCTCAGTGTGTGAATCTGGCTCTGACACTAGCCAGTGCCTCCCCAGCCACTGACCTCACCGCACGGGACTGGGCTTGATCGGCGTCTCGATGTATTCGGCGTCCTCCGAAGGTCTTCCACCAGCAGCCAGCCAAGACACTCGATGCGTGGATTATGAATTGCATTATAAATATGATACGATAATCACGTGACGTCCGTGTTATTTAACATATGGACGTGTTATTGAAAAACACTTCCGTAAATGTGTTCTGATTTTTTTTTGTTAGAGAAAACATTGCACCCAAAATTGTATCTCAAGTGTGTTCTCATCTTCGTCACGTCACGGACATATCTGCTTTCACGCTTAGAATCCATTGGGAGACGTCGCCGAGGGGTGCTGCCCCTCCTTGAGAGAGAGGCTTCTTCCGCGCTCTGGTCGGAGCAGGGTGAGTGGGCCGGAGTTCCGCCATGCGCGGCTGACCCACGCCGTGCCGGCCTTCAAGGAGCAGTGGGCGCTGGAGGAGGCCGTGTGCTCGGTGGCAGATGACGGTAGAGAGCTCTGTGCATGCAGATCTGAGCTACCCGTCGGAGGCCGTAGGACTGTGGGAAGGGCTGCGTGCAGATTCAGCACTTGTCGTAGTTATATAAAAAAAGAGAGAGCGAGAGTGAGCGAGAGAGAGCGAAATGGAGTAGGAAGAGAGGGGGCAGAGAGAGAGAGGGGGGGGGGGGGGCAGAGAGGGGGGTAGAGAGAGAGAGGAGAGGCAGAGAGGGGGGTAGAGAGAGAGGGAAGGGGTAAGGAGAGCAGAAAAAATATATTTTGTTGGGTCTTTCATTTAACAGGGGGGGGGGGGGTTACATAAAGCAAAGCATAAACAAAAACGAAATGATGAACGGAGCAAAGTGCCGACTACACCGAGCATCTTCTTGTTGTTTCCTCTGATCGTAAAAAAAGAGAGAGAGAACGAATGTCCCACAGAAGTAGACATCGCAGATCTACCTCTGAGATTCCCAGCTTCCCTCTTCTTCTTCTTCAAGCGACACTTTGGTTCGCGCGCATTAGAGGGCAGCACTTCTCCACGCCGCACTCTGCCACTTGAGTCTCGCACAACAATCAACCAGATTACGATCTTATCATTGTTATTATGTCTTCAGCCTCAGAGGCATGGAATGTAAGCCTGCCGAGGCGAACCGATACGCGGTGAATTTGCTGTGGGCACTTTTGGTTGTAGCCGACTTCGAGGCTCACCTTTATCGCCGCCGCTATTAGATTTTTTTGGGGCAGCCAAGAGTGTGGGTCGAGTCGAATGAGAGTAACGGATATCAAACAAAACCGAGGCGGTTTCAGAGGGTTGGTTTCGTCTTTAATTTTAAGAGCAGCTCCCCCAGGCTGCTTTGACACATAGCGCGTAGATCTGTACCACACGGCGTGCTGAACGCTATCATGCCAAGGCGACACACACACACTGACACACACGCGCGCACACGCACACACGCACACACACACACACACACACCACACACACACCACACACACACACCACACACACACGCACACACACACGCACACCACACACACACGCCACACAACACACACCACACATACCACACACACACGCACACACACACACGCACACACAAACACACCACACACACCACACACAAACGCACACACACACACGCACACAAACACACCACACACACACACCACACAAACACACCACACACACACACCACACACACCACACACACCACACACACACACGCACACACACGCACACACATACACACACGTACACACGCACACACATACGACTTTTCGCCGGTAATTACAACCAGCCTCATCAGGCGACAAGTCGAATTGTAAATGCTGTGGGTTTACTCTCCAACACACCGGTGTGCTGAACCAGTAACGAATGGGCACGTTTGTTTACGTGACAAACCTTACTAATTGGCTGTGTCGGGTGGTGGCGGGTTTAACCACACATTTATATATTTACGCGATATAATCCCCCCAAAACAACCCTCTATTAGAGGGAGGACACACAGACTCCACACGCTCACCGTTAACCACACTCACTCAAACTCCGCAGAACAGGGGCAGAACATTCAAAGTTGGCCCGCACGCAGAATCGAATCTCATCCAGGGCCCCTTCTACCTGTGAGGCACACGTGGCAACCACCACGACACCCGAGCGGGTTGTTTGCGTCAGGCTTGCCTGTGCGTGCGTGCGCGCGTGTGTGTGCGTGCGTGTGTGCTTGTGTGTGTGCGTGCGTGTGTACGTGTGTGTGTGTGTGTGCGCGTGCGATAGTGTAGCGGTTAGCGCGCTGCTCTATGAACCTGGCGACCCGGGTTCGATTCCCGCTCACGGCCAACACCAGTGACGATTATCTGAACCGGTTCCGGGCCTCCCCTAGGTCGACTCAGCCTCAAATGAGTACCTGGTGCGGTGTGTAAACATTGCCACTAGGGAGACAAAGGCGGCCGGGTTTGGTGCTGGCCACTCACCCCCTCGTGTGCCATTCCGGCCTTCATAGGTGCTCGCTAACAGCACTTGCCCCTACAGTCTGTTAAGGCTATACGGGGAATCTTTGTCTTTTGTGTTGTGGGGAGCGGTGGTTTAGTGGTCAGCGCGCTGCGCTATCCCGGTGATCCGAATTCGATTCCCGCTCATGGCCACCGACGCCGGTGACGATTATCTGATCCGGTGCTGGGCCTCCCCTAAGTCGACTCGGCCTCAAATGAGTACCTACCGCCACTGGGGAGACAAAGGCGGCCGGGCTTGGTGCTGGCCACTCACCCCCTCGTGTGCCATTCCGGCCTTCATCGGTGCTCGCGAACAGCACTTGCCCCTACAGTCTGTTTGGGCTATACGGGGGATCTTTGTCTTTTTGTTTGGCTGTTAGCAGGCTTGCCTGATGCAAACAACCATGGAAGAAAAACCACGCCGTGGCATGGATCCTGCGAATGCTTTTCAGCCTCCGCCTGACGGTGGGCGCACAAATAAAATAGTTTTGGTTTTGTAAAAATATATTTTCGTATCCTTCCCGCATCCACCCCCGTGACAGATGGACGGACGGCATTGACAACAATGGCGTCGACACGACGCGCACGACACAAACACGCGGCAGCACGGTTGCTTTAATCAAATCTTTATTACGGCCAAACAAGGATCAAGGACAACAAACCGAGCCCGCTGTAGACCCGACCCCGGAGGGCAGCAGCGGAACCCTCGTGGTGGCGCCGGTGCGGTGACCGGCAACAGCGAACGGACCGAGAATCCCTCGACGGCGTTTCCGCGTCGAAGGAGGAATCGTCGCTCCTCGCCGAGTAACGGCACCGGGCCCCACCACGAACGGTGCCGCGCTACGTCAGGCGGCAACCAACGGCTGCTCGTGGACTTCCCAGCCCTCGCCGCCGCCACCGCTCAGCTGCCCAGCGTCATCTTGTCGAAGAGGTACTCGCCCACTCCGGCCTGCGGCACGCCGAGGCGCTTGAGGTTGGTGATGTGCTCGCCCAGCTGCTTGATGGCGTCCACCTGCTCCTCCAGGTAGTGGCTCTCGATGAAGTCGCACAGCTGGCGAGGGGGCAGTGGGGCGAGAGGGCGGTTTAGCATCGCAGTTCCTCGGAGGTTCGCTCCAGCTCCCCCCCCCCCCCCCCTCCTTCGTTATTCACATCATGAGGGTTCATTGTTGGTTTCTTTTGGGTTAGGCCAGGGGTGGGGAACGTCCGGCCCGCAGACCGTATAAAGACCAAGAAATCATTTGGTCTGTTCCAGCCATCGCATTAGGGGTGAGTTAATGAAATGTTTGACCACATTTAACGGGGCTAATTTTTAAGTTGATAATTTTGTATTGCCCGCGAATGATGCTATATAAATATCTAAATGGCCCTTGGTAGAAAAAAAATGTTCCCCGTTCCTGAGGTTAAGCAATGGGGTCACTGCCCCCCCCCCCCAGCCCCCCACCCCTTCCCCACCCCTCCCATCCCCTGAGACCCTAAATGAAGATACAGCGAGCACTTTGATCGCAGTAGTCGGAGTGACAATCATCGTGTCAAGTCGCAACGCTGCGCCGGCACCGATCGTTCTCCCAACGTGCTGGGGGCCAGTGGCCGCGCGCTCACACGTGGGAGCAAAACCGGGCCACCACCAGAGAAACAACCCCCACGCGTGCGAGGGGGACAAACACCGTATCCCACTCAGGTGGGCCATGTTAGAAATGAGTCTGTACATTGCCACACCTGTCAACCCCGTATCAGTGCCCTAGCTTATCACAGACCAATTCAGACCTTATTGGTCACCCCGTGCCCCCTGTAAATCTCAACGTTCATCCTACAAAGTGCCATCGCAAGTCGAGAAACACAAACAAATACACAAACACAATGTTTTGATTTAAAGCTTTCGTGACTGCAGTAATTCATATTCTTAGTTTTTTTTCGGTAAAGTCACGTTGAAGAGAAACAACAAAATAATAAAATATATATAAAACAATAAAAAATTCTCACGACGTTTCGACCGTTTGAGTTATGGTCGAAACGTCGTGAGAATTTTTTTATTGTTTTATATATATTTTATTATTTTGTTGTTTCTCTTCAACTTGACTTTACCGAAAAAAACTAAGAATATGAAACACAATGTTGCCCGTATCGAAACGGCTGTACACCGTATGGACCCGAAAACTCAATTCCCCTGTACAAGAATACGGGGTAAACCGTGTGGGCTGACAGCGATGTTAGTCTGCACGTTGCTGGGAAGGGAGTGTGGATCACAGGCTGTAGCTACCGCCCCCACCACCCCTTTGGCAAGCGTCTTGGTGTCGTCTGTGGCCGGGTGTGCGGCGTCGCAAGCGCACCTGAGGGTCCTTGTTCTTGTCGGCGAGGGCGTGCAGCTCGAGCAGCGCCTGGTTCACTCTCTTCTCCAGCTGAAGCGCCAGCTGCAGCGCCTCAAGGCCATTGCCCCACTCGTCCCGGTCCGGCTTCTACACTCGTGGCACGCGAACACCGCCATCGGCCGCGGTCACAGCTCTGTCCACGCGAGTCCGTGGCTCGCTGTGCCAGTCTATGGTCATCTGAGTGAGCCTGTGGGTCTCCTGAGTGAGTCTGTGGGCCTCTGAGCGAGTCTGTGGGCCTCTGAGTGAGCCAGCCTGTGGGCCTCTGAGTGAGTCTGTGGGCCTCTGAGTGAGTCTGGGCCTCTGAGTGAGCCCGTGGGCCTCTGAGTGAGTCTGTAGGCCTCTGAGTGAGTCTGGGCCTCTGAGCGAGTCTGTGGGCCTCTGAGTGAGTATGTGGGCCTCTGAGTGAGTCTGTGGGCCTCTGAGTGAGTCTGGGCCTCTGAGTGAGTCTGTGGGCCTCTGAGTGAGCCAGCCTGTGGGCCCCTGAGTGAGTCTGTGGGCCTCTGAGTGAGCCTATGGGCCCGAGTGAGTTTACAGGCCTCTGAGTGAGTCTGTGGGCCTCTGAGTTAGCCTGTGGGCCTCTGAATGAGTCTGTGGGCCTCTGAGTGAGTCTGTGGGCTTCTGAGTGAGTCTGAGTATCTGAGTGAGTCTGGGCCCCTGAGTGAGCCCGTGGGCTTCTGAGTGAGTTTACATGCCTCTGAGTGAGCCCGTGAGCTTCTGAGTGAGTTTGTGGTCCTCAGAGTGAGTCTGTGGGCCTCTGAGTGAGTCTGGGTGTCTGAGTGAGGCTGTGGGCCTCTGAGCGAGTCTGTGGGCCTCTGAGTGAGTCTGGACCTCTGAGTGAGCCCGTGGGCCTCTGAGTGAGCCCGTGGGTCTCTGAGTGAGCCCGTGGGTCTCTGAGTGAGGAAGTGGACCTCTGAATGAGTCTGTGGGCCTCTGAGTGAATCTGTGGGCCTCTGAGCGAGTCTGTGGGCCTTTGAGTGAGTCTGGGCCTCTGAGTGAGCCCGTGGGCCTCTGAGTGAGCCCGTGGGTCTCTGAGTGAGGAAGTGGACCTTTGAATGAGTCTGTGGGCCTCTGAGTGAGTCTGTGGGCCTCTGAGTGAGTCTGTGGGCCTCTGAGTGAGCCTACGGGCCCGAGTGAATTTACAGGCCTCTGAGTGAGCCTATGGATCTCTGAGTCAACCCGTGGGCCTCTGAGTAAGTATGTGGGTCTCTGAGTGAGCCCGTGGGCCTATGACCGAGTCTGTGGTCCTCTGAGTGAGCCTGTGGGCCTCTTGAGTGAGAAGGCCGCCTCACCTTGATGTCCTGCAGCACGACGCGGCCGCCGCGCTTGTTCTGGTACTCGAGCAGCTTCTCGGCGTGGTCGCGCTCCTCGTGAGACAGCTCCTTGAAGAACTTGTGGAAGTTCTTCAGGGCCACGTCATCGCGGTCGAAGTAGTAGGCCTAGCGGGTCCGGGGGTGGAAATGTGGCACCTGTTAAATTTACCTGCCGCCTGGTTGAAGACAAGTACGACTCTCATACCGTGTCAACCCACACGGTTTAACCCGCATTCTTGTACAGGGGCATTGAGTTTTCAGGCCCATATTGGCGTACAGCCGTTTCAACACGGGACAAACATCTTATTTTGTGTCCATTTCTTTGTGTTTCTCTCTTGCGATGGGACTTTGTAGGATGAACGTTGAAATTTATAAGGGGCACGGGGTGACCAATAAGGTCTGAATTGGTCTGTAATAAGGTAGGGCACTGATAAGGGGTTGACAGGTTTGCACTCTGGACGGGTTTCTACATTCAGTGCCTCATCAGCAGAGTCTGGCACGCTTGAACCCACGTGACTGCGCGCGAGTCAGACCGAGTAACAACGGCCTGATGTCATCGTCTATTTATTCGTGACAATATTTCACCTGAGACGCTCTTTGCCAGCGAGCTGTTTCACCTGAAATGATTGTCCAGGTGATAATATATTTTTTATATACATATATGAAAATGTAACTTGCACAGAAGCAAGCAAAGCAAAATGAAATCTCCCCGGCCTGGCTGTGTTGCCAAACTGATTGCGCCACCGAGATGGGGAGTCGGCGAGCGATGGACAAGAGATTGGACATTCGCGGCCGGAGGGTGGCATTTCGAAAATCGTCCGGTGGGGCTGCCAACTCGGGAGTGCGGGAGAAGCCCTCTCTCGTTGCATTTGCGACAACTGAATTCCTGTTTATACCCTCCGCAGTGTGGTTCCCATTGTCCGCGAGGATCCACGACTTTCGATACGGTTTCCAGTGATGCGCCAAAGTCAAAGATCCCCCGTGTAGCCTTAACAGGCTGGTGAGCCGAGTGCTGTTAGCGAGCGGTGTCTATGAGGGCCGTCTTTGTCTCCCCAGTACTCATATATACATACACGCTGAAATGAGGTACTCGTTTAAAGCTGAGTTGACCTAAGGGAGGCCCAGGACCGGTCCAAATATTCGTCACTGGTATTGAACTCGGGTGGCGGGGTTCGTAGAGCAGTGCGCGTACCACTGAGTGCTCGCCACACACACACAGACACACACACATAGACACACACACATAGACACACACACACAGACACACACACACAGACACACACACAGACACACACAGAGACACCACTCACAGACATACACACACAGACACACACAGACACACACACACAGACACACACACAGACACACATAGACACACACAGAGACACACAGACACACACACAGACACACAGACACACACAGAGACCCCACTCACAGACACACACACACACAGACACACACACATAGACACACACACAGACACACATAGACACACACAGAGACACACACACATAGACACACACACAGACACACACACATAGACACACACACATAGACACACACACATAGACACACACAGACACACACACACACAGACACACACACATAGACACACACAGAGACACCACTCACAGACGCATAGACACACACACAGACACCACTCACAGACGCATAGACACACACACAGACACCACTCACAGACACATAGACACACACACACACACATAGAGACACCACACACAGACGCATAGACACACACACAGAGACACCACTCACAGATCCATAGACACACACAGAGACACCACTCACAGACACATAGACACACACACATCGACACACACACAGACACATAGACACACACACACACAGACACCACTCACAGACACATAGACACACACATAGACACACACACAGACACATAGACACACACACACACATAGACACACACACACATAGAGACACCACACACAGACACATAGACACACACAGAGACACCACTCACAGACGCATAGACACACACACATAGAGACACCACACACAGACACATAGACACACACACACATACACACACACAGACACATAGACACACACACACACACACAGACACACACACAGACACATAGACACACACACACATAGAGACACCACACACAGACACATAGACACACACAGAGACACCACTCACAGACGCATAGACACACACACATAGAGACACCACACACAGACACATAGACACACACACACATACACACACACAGACACATAGACACACACACACACACAGACACACACACAGACACATAGACACACACACACATAGAGACACCACACACAGACACATAGACACACACAGAGACACCACACACAGACACAAAGGGACACACGCGCGCGTGCGCACGTGCAAAACGACCTCGGGTCGCCAGGTTCGGAGCGCGATGCGCTAACCACTGCACCGCCGCTCCCCGTCACAGACGACACGAGTCTGCGATGGGTCAGGGATCTGTCTGTGTCTCCTCACCATGGAGCTGTAGACGTAGGAGGCGTAGAGCTCCTGGTTGACTTGCCGGTTGATGGCAGCTTCCACCTCCTGGCTAAAGTTCTGGCGAACCTGGGACGTCATTTTCTTTCAGCTGAAATGCAACAAAAGACGAAGAGGACACAGGAGGAAGTTCCGTTCAAACACTGTTGAAGCTAGAACCGTGTTCCTGTGATGATTGCAGACTGCACGAGGCGCTGGTGGCTTATATACTCTGGGAAGGCGTAGGGAGGCCGGTCCAAGTCACACTCAGCCCAGCCTACTCACACCTACAGCCCAACCCACTCACACTCACACACCCAGCCTACTCACACTCACAGTCCAACCCACTCACACACCCAGCCTACTCACACTCACAGCCTACTCACACTCACACACCCAGCCTACTCACACTCACACACCCAGCCTACTCACACACCCAGCCTACTCACACTCACACATCCAGCCTACTCACACTCACATTCACAGCCTACTCACACTCACAGCCCAGCCTACTCACACTCACACACCCAGCCTACTCACACAGCCCAGCCTACTCACACTCACACACCCAGCCTACTCACACACCCAGCCTACTCACACTCACACACCCAGCCTACTCACACTCACACACCCAGCCCACTCACACTCACACATGCAGCCTACTCACACTCACACACCCAGCCTACTCACACTCACACACCCAGCCTACTCACACTCACACACCCAGCCTACTAACACTCACACACCCAGCCTACTCACACTCACACACCCAGCCTACTAACACTCACACACCCAGCCTACTCACACTCACACACCCAGCCTACTCACACTCACACACGCAGCCTACTCACACTCACACACCCAGCCTACTCACACTCACACACCCAGCCTACTAACACTCACACACCCAGCCTACTCACACTCACACACCCAGCCTACTCACACTCACACACCCAGCCTACTAACACTCACACACCCAGCCTACTCACACTCACACACCCAGCCTACTAACACTCACACACCCAGCCTACTCACACTCACACACCCAGCCTACTCACACTCACACACCCAGCCTACTCACACTCACACACCCAGCCTACTAACACTCACACACCCAGCCTACTCACACTCACACACCCAGCCTACTCACACTCACACACCCAGCCTACTCACACTCACACACCCAGCCTACTCACACTCACACACCCAGCCTACTAACACTCACACACGCAGCCTACTCACACTCACAGCCCAGCCTACTCACACTCACACACCCAGCCTACTCACACTCACAGCCCAGCATACTCACACTCACAGCCCAGCCTACTCACACTCACACACCCAGCCTACTCACACTCACAGCCTACTCACACTCACACACCCAGCCCACTCACACCCACACACCCAGCCTACTCACACTCACACACCCAGCCTACTCACACTCACACACCCAGCCTACTCACACTCACACACCCAGCCTACTCACACTCACAGCCCAACCTACTCACACTCACACACCCAGCCTACTCACACACCCAGCCTACTCACACTCACAGCCCAGCCCACTCACACCCACACACCCAGCCTACTCACACTCACACACCCAGCCTACTCACACACCCAGCCTACTCACACTCACACACCCAGCCTACTAACACTCACACACCCAGCCCACTCACACACTCAGCCTACTCACACTCACATTCACAGCCTACTCACACTCACACACCCAGCCTACTCACACTCACACATCCAGCCTACTCACACTCACACACCCAGCCTACTCACACACCCAGCCTACTAACACTCACACACCCAGCCTACTCACACTCACAGCCCAGCCTACTCACACTCACACACCCAGCCTACTCACACTCACACACCCAGCCTACTCACACTCACACACCCAGCCTACTCACACTCACACACCCAGCCTACTCACACTCACACACCCAGCCTACTCACACTCACACACCCAGCCTACTCACACTCACACACCCAGCCTACTCACACTCATACACCCAGCCTACTCACACTCACACACCCAGCCTACTCACACTCACACACCCAGCCTACTCACACTCACACACCCAGCCTACTCACACTCACACACCCAACCTACTCACACTCACACACCCAGCCTACTCACACTCACACACCCAGCCTACTCACACTCACACATCCAGCCTATTCACACTCACACACCCAGCCTACTCACACTCACACACCCAGCCTACTAACACTCACACACCCAGCCTACTCACACTCACAGCCCAGCCTACTCACACACCCAGCCTACTCACACTCACACACCCAGCCTACTCACACTCACAGCCTACTCACACTCACACACCCAGCCCACTCACACCCACACACCCAGCCTACTCACACTCACACACCCAGCCTACTCACACTCACACACCCAGCCTACTCACACTCACACACCCAGCCTACTCACACTCACAGCCCAACCTACTCACACTCACACACCCAGCCTACTCACACACCCAGCCTACTCACACTCACAGCCCAGCCCACTCACACCCACACACCCAGCCTACTCACACTCACACACCCAGCCTACTCACACACCCAGCCTACTCACACTCACACACCCAGCCTACTAACACTCACACACCCAGCCCACTCACACACTCAGCCTACTCACACTCACATTCACAGCCTACTCACACTCACACACCCAGCCTACTCACACTCACACATCCAGCCTATTCACACTCACACACCCAGCCTACTCACACACCCAGCCTACTAACACTCACACACCCAGCCTACTCACACTCACAGCCCAGCCTACTCACACTCACACACCCAGCCTACTCACACTCACACACCCAGCCTACTCACACTCACACACCCAGCCTACTCACACTCACACACCCAGCCTACTCACACTCACACACCCAGCCTACTCACACTCACACACCCAGCCTACTCACACTCACACACCCAGCCTACTCACACTCATACACCCAGCCTACTCACACTCACACACCCAGCCTACTCACACTCACACACCCAGCCTACTCACACTCACACACCCAGCCTACTCACACTCACACACCCAACCTACTCACACTCACACACCCAGCCTACTCACACTCACACACCCAGCCTACTCACACTCACACATCCAGCCTATTCACACTCACACACCCAGCCTACTCACACTCACACACCCAGCCTACTAACACTCACACACCCAGCCTACTCACACTCACAGCCCAGCCTACTCACACACCCAGCCTACTCACACTCACACACCCAGCCTACTCACACTCACAGCCTACTCACACTCACACACCCAGCCCACTCACACCCACACACCCAGCCTACTCACACTCACACACCCAGCCTACTCACACTCACACACCCAGCCTACTCACACTCACACACCCAGCCTACTCACACTCACAGCCCAACCTACTCACACTCACACACCCAGCCTACTCACACACCCAGCCTACTCACACTCACAGCCCAGCCCACTCACACCCACACACCCAGCCTACTCACACTCACACACCCAGCCTACTCACACACCCAGCCTACTCACACTCACACACCCAGCCTACTAACACTCACACACCCAGCCCACTCACACACTCAGCCTACTCACACTCACATTCACAGCCTACTCACACTCACACACCCAGCCTACTCACACTCACACATCCAGCCTATTCACACTCACACACCCAGCCTACTCACACACCCAGCCTACTAACACTCACACACCCAGCCTACTCACACTCACAGCCCAGCCTACTCACACTCACACACCAGCCAGCCTACTCACACTCACACACCCAGCCTACTCACACTCACACACCCAGCCTACTCACACTCACACACCCAGCCTACTCACACTCACACACCCAGCCTACTCACACTCACACACCCAGCCTACTCACACTCACACACCCAGCCTACTCACACTCATACACCCAGCCTACTCACACTCACACACCCAGCCTACTCACACTCACACACCCAGCCTACTCACACTCACACACCCAGCCTACTCACACTCACACACCCAACCTACTCACACTCACACACCCAGCCTACTCACACTCACACACCCAGCCTACTCACACTCACACATCCAGCCTATTCACACTCACACACCCAGCCTACTCACACTCACACACCCAGCCTACTAACACTCACACACCCAGCCTACTCACACTCACAGCCCAGCCTACTCACACACCCAGCCTACTCACACTCACACACCCAGCCTACTCACACTCACACACCCAGCCTACTCACACACCCAGCCTACTAACACTCACACACCCAGCCTACTCACACTCACACACCCAACCTACTCACACTCACACACCCAGCCTACTCACACTCACACACCCAACCCACTCACACTCACAGCCCAGCCTACTCACACTCACAGCCCAGCCTACTTACACTCAGAGCCCAGCCCACTCACACTCACACACCCAGCCTACTCACACTCACACACCCAGCCTACTCACACTCACAGCCCAACCTACTCACACTCACACACCCAACCTACTCACACTCACACACCCAACCTACTCACACTCACAGCCTACTCACACTCACACACCCAGCCCACTCACACACCCAGCCTATTCACACTCACACACCCAGCCCACTCACACTCACAGCCTACTCACACTCACAGCCTACTCATACTCACAGCCTATTCACACAAATCAGCATACTCCGGCTGATTGATGATCCAGCACTCACTGATTTACTTGAGTCACTCACTCACTGGCGGTCAGTGGTCTCCTGGTGACTCTTTTGTCGCGACTACCATGAACTCGCTCTATACCAGATACTGCCTGTTGAGTTTCATCAACCACGCTGTGTTCAACCACCACCAACACCACCACCACACTGGAAGCCACAACAACACACCCACTCATCCAACCACCAACCCACTCATCCAACCACCCACCCACTCATCCAACCACCCACTCGTCCAACCACCCACTCATCCAACCATCCATCCACTCATCCAACCACCCACCCACTCATCCAACCATCCACTTACTCACTCATCCTACCACCCATCCACTATTCCAACCACCCACTCACTCATCCAACCACCCACTCACTCATCCTACCACCCACCCACTGTTCCAACCACCCACTCACTCATCCAACCATCCACCCACTCACTCATCCAACCACCCACCCACTCATCCAACCACCAACC